GGCCATTTTTTGGTTGCAGCCGTCATTGTTGTTTGGCGGGTCCGGGCTGGGGATTCGAACCCGCCACCCTAGGTGTACGTGGCTGGCGCCTTAGCCGGCTAAGCTACAGGCGCCAAGCCTCATTCAAGTCTTATGACTTACTGAGCCCCAGGAGCCCCACACAACCTGGTCCATCTACATTTCCTATACCTCTCACCCTTGTTCCAGGCCCCAGCTCTGCCCTGCCTCAGGGCCTTTGCACTTGCTGTTCCCCCTCCAATGAATGTTCATCCCATGCTCATCACCTGGACGGCTGCTTCTTCTCTTCAGGTGACAGCCAAAAGTCACCCCCAGGATATCCTCCCTGAGCACCTCCTTTAAGTGGCCCCTCCATCTCAGACCTCATTGCCCCTCCTAGCTCAAGGGTTACAGGCACAAGCCTGGGTTCCAACCACAGGTAGCCACTCATTGGCTGTATGACTGTGAGTAAGTGTCCTAATCTTTCTGTGCCTCCATTCTCATCATCTGTAAATGGTGAATAACAATAGTACCCACTTCATAAGGTTAATTCAACAGTTACTTTTTGAGCAACTGCTGTATGTGGAACATATTGCAGAATCGAGGGCCCCTGTCCTCACATAGCACCTGCCAGTATTGTGAACATGAAGCAGGCACATGAGTGGGACACGCTTGGTAATCGTCAGCAGTCAGATCACTTAGAGTAATTCTTCTTGTTCATGATGTAACAACTACCTGAGATTTATTTGTGTGTCCACTTGTTTGTCCCCATAATACCATCTGCTCTAGGTGGACAGCAGGATGGGGTCCCTGGCCTTCACCCCCATGCCCAAACAGCACTGTGGGAAGGATGTGTTGCATGGACAAGTGGGCAGGCTGTCAGGACATCTGGGAGCGTCCACCTGAGAAAGAATTGGGGCAGCAGAAGGAGGGTCAACTCGCCTTGACTGTGTGCTGTGTGACTCAGAGGTTACTCTATCCCTCTGAGCCTCCGTCTCCTCATCTGTCAAATGGGGCTAATAATACCTACTCTCCCCTGCCACTCACGTCAGTTGAGTCCGACATGTGTGAGGGTAGGACCATCAAGTCAGCTGTAAAGCCTGAGTGAAGGCAGGTCTCAGGTGCCAGGAGCTCCCCATGGCACAGTTGGGTCACGGTGCCAGGCTATGAGGTGTTTG